AATTGAGGCACATGCCCTTAATGGAAATCAAACCTGGGACCCTTTAGTCCCAGGGCTGACACACTCTCCACTGAGCCAAACCAGCGAGGGCCTCTAGTATCCTTTAAAACAGGTGCTCTGACTAGAGATTCTAGGACAGTCTGGGAGAATGGAAACTCTGATTGCTTTTGCCCCTCCTTTTTCCAGCTCCCCCATGGGATTCCATGCTCTACTCTGCAGTTAGGAAAGATTTATTCTCTCTTCACCTCTCCAGGATGGCTTGGGAATTTTTCTTCCCCTCAACCTCTTCCCTACCTTTTCACTTTTCAAATGGTATGAATTTTGGGAAAGTGGTTCTTAATTATTCACCACACAGTCCTCTGGCAGACTGCAAGACTCCAGGGCAAAGGGGAAGAGAAAGGCCAACAGAAGACTGAAAGCCCAAGCTAATGGTTTCCTTCCATGAGAAATTCTGTTATCATAAGGTGGTGTTTTATTTAGGTTGTAGTTCTTAGTTGTAGAGCAGGTATTACATTTATGTCTTCCTCATGTCAGCTTGGAATGTGTTGTGGCTAATGTAATATTTTCTTTAGTGAAATAGCAGTAAAACCAAGGCAGCAAAAAAAACACTGAAGGGAAGGGCAAGCCAAAGCTCCTAAGGGGTAAGTTAACTTGGAGTTGGTAATCCTTGTGGCCTATCCCAGAGTCACAGTGGCCAGGTTTGTAATGATCTTTACATTATTTTTAAAAACATGTTTTTACTGATTTCAGAGAGAGGAAGGGAGAGGGAGAGAGAGATAGAAACATCAATGAGAGAGAAACATTCATCAGCTGCCTCCTGTACGCCCCCTACTGGGGATTGAGCCCACAACCTGGGCATGTGTCCCTGACTTGGAATTGAACCTGCCATTTCTAGGTGCATGGGATGATGTTCAACCAATTGAGCCAACCAGTTGGGCTTTGTATTATTTAATTACGAAATTTTACTTGCTAGCCTGATGCCTCAGTTTAACATTGTACCTCATTCCCTGCTTAATTTTTCTCCAGAGCCTTATCTCCTTCTCATGTGCTATATACCTCACTTATTATTATTATATTTTATTACATAAATGTCTGACATCCCCTAGAAAATGTAAGCTCCCTTAAGGACAGGAATTTTTGCTTGTTTTGTTTATTCATACAGGGCCTAGAATTGTCCTGGTACTGGGTAGATGCACAATAAATATCTGTTGAATACATTAATTATTAATCCTGATCAAAGCAATATTAATAAATAACAACTATGATCAAGTTTCTTTCTACATGTATTTAATTTATAGACAACAGGTGGGCATTTACAAAGCAGTTGATGGTCAAAAACCACACAGAACCCATTTTCATCAGCATGGTATGCGCTTCTAAACATAGACGTGGACAGATAAGCCTGTGCTAGCGGGAGTGGGAAATCTGGTGGTTTCTGATGTAGGTAGACTTACATGAATCCCTAAAACAAAGGGTGTGGTTTGGCTCAGTGTACTCATAACAAGTTCATGTGCTGCTCACGACCCTCATGAAACATGATCACTAATTTTATATTCCCATTTCTGGACAAAGCATTATCATCCAATTCTAAAATTCTCGGTACAGGATCAGGCAGTTTACTGGGACTCAAAACATAAAAGATGAAAAGAGGAGTGTAGTAATTATGTGAGAGTTTCTCTTGTACTTGACATCATTATAATCACAGGACATGCTTCCCAGCAATGACATGGCAGCGTACTCTGAGGACAATAGTGGCTGCTACAGCTCTTCCTTTTCCCCAAGACTCCTACTTCCAGGGCCAATCTAGTGTAATCTGAGAGTCAGGTAACCTCCCTCTCCCATTCAGTGTGTCCTGCAGAACTGATAAAAGACTAGACTTATCTAGAAGCAGGAGGAACAACTGGCCTCGATGGACTTGGATTAATATTATGAGTGAGTGAGTGCATCCAAAAAGATAAGGCATTGCAAGCAAATTCTCTGTAGGACTACATGAATGACATTTGATTTGTTTCTAAACAGAAGAGAGCCTTGGCAGGTGTGTAAACACATGCAAATCACGTAGCTGTGTAACACCTGTGCCACATTTTATTACTTCCTATATTTCAATGTGACCCTTGGGAAAAAGCCTCATGTAAAATATTGGTCTAGTGGTAAATGGGGATTCATGAACTTCAAGTTCTAAACCATCTGTTGTTTTTAATATATTGGATAATTTATAAAATCTATATTGAGATATAATTCATATACCATGCAATTCACACATTTAACGGACACAGTTCAATGGTTTTTAGTATACTCACAGTTATGCAACCATCACCAATCTATTTTAGAGCATTTTCATCACTCCAAAAAGACACCTTGCATTTTTAGCAGTCACTCCCCATTCTTCCCCAACTCCACCCTCCATTCCAGCCATAGGCAAACATGAGTTTACTTTCTCTCTTTGTGGGATTGCCTATTGTGAATATAACACAATATGTGGTCTTCATTCACTTAGCATAATCTTTTCAATGTTCATTCCTTTGTACTGCTGAATAATACTCCATTGTTCCATTCCATATCACACTTTATCCATTCATTAGTCAACACTTGGGTGTTTTCACTTTTTGACTATTTTGAATAATGCTGCTGTAAACATTTGTGTACAAGTTCTTACATGGACATAGGTTTTCAATTCTCTTAGATGTAAACCTAAGAGTGAAATGGCTGGGTTATATGGTACCTCTATATTCAACCTTTGCAGAACTACCAAACTATTTTCCACAGCAACTCAACATTTTATATTCCTACCAGCCATATATGATGGTTCCAATATGCTTTTTTATTATAGCCATTTGGTTGGTGTGAAGTGATATTCTGTGGTTTTTATCTTCATTTCCCTAAAAGTAATGATAGTAGGCACATTTTCATGTGTTGATTGGACATCTTCTTTGAAGAAATTCTGTTTCTAGAGAATTGTCTAAAATCTCGTGCCCGACAGGGGTGGCTCAGTGGTTGAGCATTGACCTATGAACCAGGAGGTCACGGTTTGATTCCGTGGTCAGGACACATGCTCGGGTTGCAGGTTTGATCCCCAGTCGCGGGCGTGCAGGAGGCAGCTGATCAATGATTCTCTCTCATCATTGATGTTTTTCTCTCTTTCTCCCTTCCTCTTTGAAATCAATAAAAATATATTTAAAAATAAAAAAAAAATCTCTGCCCATTTTAAAATGGGTTATTGGTCTTTTCGTTGTTTAGTTTTTCTTCTTTGCCTTAAGAATGAGGGATGGTTGGAGGAAGACAGCCTCAGACCTCTCACCTAATCTTGACTAGATTAGAGCTTCTGCAACATAAAGCTGGGAGGATTAGATGCTGGTGGCCTGCTTTTCTCAGAAATATACTATAGCTCTAGACTGGGATTGAGGTTGAGAAGGAGCCCTGTGTTCTTGGCTCCTACCTGGAGTACTATCATACCCACCTGGAGGGGGGCAGGGAAGTAGGATGTGGAACTCTTGCTGTTCTTACTGAAACTTAGTAGTTTGTGTTGAATAATTTTTCTGTATTTGTTGCATTTTCTCAGGACAATTTCTAGAGACTAAATTGTTGTTTGCCTATAATTTTCACCAGTTATTGTTGTGTTGCTAAAGAGTGGGTTTACGGAGCTCTTCATTCCAACATTCTGAAGGTTGAGTCCCATTTGAATAATTTTTAATGAAGATTTTGCATCTTGTATACTTGGTGGTAAAATCATTTGTGCTGACATAGTAGATATAGAATTAGGAGGGACAGTTTTTACAAAAGTATTTGTAACAAAAGTTTTTACAAACAGGGGGTTAAGAAACCTGATAGAAGTTGAGGGCTGATTGACTTTCAACTTCAAATCCAGTCAAATTCTAGGCTGCCTATGCATTTGGTTTGACAAACCATTCTTAATTTATTGTTATTAAATAGTTGCATAGAAATATTTGAATAATGAAGGTGGCTGCATTTCATATGAAAGTTTGTTGTTGCTCTAGTAATATATGTACAAAGCCATCAGAACTACTGAAACAGCATTCAAAATGATGCCTATTTTTAAAAGCATAGGATTATAATTAATTCTGATGTGAAAATCAGGTTCCTAATACCTCACTAGTTTTATACAATACTCTAAAAAGTTCACAAACAAAAATGACCATGTATTTCTTAATTTTTGTTTCATTAAAAGAACTACCGTGCCACAAAGTCTTTTAGAAAAACAACATTCCCAACATTCCTGATGCATTTATTTGTGGTTTTAGGGCAAATACTTACATTTAACAATTCTTCCAATTCTTTACTTGATCATGGCTGAGCTCATATGTTAATTGCCAACTAGGTGAATTTCACTTGAGTTGAAATAGATCTCTGAATTAGAATCTCTGCCCATATCGAAAACCTTTCTCTCTCTATTCCCACAACCCCATGGCAAAGTTAACTATCATACCTTCCTTCTTGGGTTTAGAAGTCTGGGTTACTTATAAGCGATCAGTTAAGCACTCTTGAGAAAATACACACTATTAATAATTATGAGAAAATGTTGAATGTATTTCTTGGAAATCCATCACTCTTGGGGCAGTTCACTCGTGTGTATTATTGTCTGAAATAGCTTATGGGCAAAAGGTATTGCGTAAGAGTCTGAAAGTAGATAAAGAGGAATATTTAAGAATGAAACCAAGCACCTCCCAATGATATCTCCCTGAATAGCTATCTCTGAACTGCACAAAGATAAGTAATGAAAGTCATTTACAAAGTAATTTTCTCTTCTCTTGGCTTGGAAAGTTTCAGTAATAAAGTTTGGTGTCTGTTGAGTGAAACATCATAGTTTCTCACATAGTTCAAGGCAAATGGAAAAAAAACCCTTTGAATTCTTAAAATTTAAATGCCGTTAAATAATACACTGATAAATTGCATTAAAGCTCGGTACTGTTTTCCCCCTATAAAGGCAGAAATTGTATCCTACTAAAATGATGTTTCAAGCAGATATTTCGGAAGATGCTTACCTCCCGGTTGGGTGTACCTCTCTGCGGCTTAGGTGAGCGCCAGCGCGTTGGCGCCTCTCCAGATGCTGCGAGCTTCCCCCTGCGCCCGGCGCCTCCGAGCTTCCCAGAGTGGGGTGTTCGGCCCCGCCGCCTGCCCTATTGCCAAAACTCCAATCCTGCCAGACCGATTAATTATTGACAAAAGGAAAACACTCCCACGCAAACTTGTGTCCAACCGCGCTGCTCCAGCGACTCCTCACAGAGCTGCACCACTCCCCTCCCCCTTTGCTCCACGGTCCCAACTTCCCACAGGCTGCCTCTGGCTGTCAGCGCTGGGCGCTCGGGCTGGTCCCGGGAGGAATGCAGCCCTGCGACTTCCACATTCTAAAATTCGGTTTCCTGCGGCTCGTAGCACCCCCCCGGGCTCGGCCCCTCAGGTGCAGGACCTTGGGGAGGCTGGGGAAGCCGGCTTCTGAGAGCAGCCGAGGAGGCTGAGGCGTCCCTGTCACCTCCGGCTACTGCAGTAAAAGCCCGAGCGCAGCCGAGGCGGGGATGGGGAGGAGGGATAGGGAGGCGCCCTCCCCCCACCCTCGGGCTGGGAGCCCCGACACCTCCAAAGGGGCACATCCTTCGGAGGGGTTGGGGAGGAGCAGAAAACCTGGGGGCGCGAGGTGGACGCTCTGGGGCTTTAGCCTACAGGCCGGCGTTCACCTGCCAGGAGACAGCCAGTGCCCGGGGCGCATCCCTCCGCAGACACCGCGAGGGGCCGAAGCCCGGGCGCCCGGCGGGACTGCGGTGGGAAAGTCGGCAGCAGCCTGCGAAGTGAGCCCAGGGCTCGGCGGGCAGCAGTTAGCCAACGGGCATCCCACTGCTTTTTTGTGTGTCTGAAACCGAAGAAGAAAGCAAACCCTTTAGCACCGGCAGCTAATTTCTGTGCCTTAAACACCCCCCCCCCCCCGCCCCGCACCCCATCCCGGCAATCCATCCATTCTGCCACCTTCCCTGCACCCCGTGGCTGGAGGTCAATGCTGAGAAGCTGGACTCCCCAGGGAGACAGATGGAAGGACCGCCCTGGGGAACTCGTGTGTGCGCACTCACAAGTGGGGAGAGTTAATGTGGGCCCGGACTGACTGCAGCAGGAAGCAAACTGGGGAGAGTGCGGGGAGGGGCTGGGTGCTGCAGACACCGGCGCTCAATTGCCTTCCCGAGGAGGTGCAGGCCCGCAGAGAACCTCTATCGCGGAAACCCGCACGGACACCATCGATCCCTTCTCCACCGAGGGAACTGCTTGGATTCAACGCGGTGGCTGCGAGCTGCGAGCGCAGAGGCCCTTGAGGCTCTCACCCCTGATGTCTGCGTAGCCGAGCCGCTTTGGGCCCACGGGGCATCGGGGGAGAAAGCCTTGTTTGATGAATGAGCGTTTGGGCGACATCCGACAGTCAGCCCGCACCGGCACTGCCGGAGGAGGGGGAGGCCCGCACATGCCCGGCCATAGCTGACTCGGCAGAAGCGCGAGTTTCAGCGGCTGGCAGCTTTCTGCTCATTCTCACAACATTCTTCCAGCAGGTTCCAAGCCGCCGGTGCTCCGTAGAGGGAGACTCGTGTGACTGGGCTGGGGTTTCTCCACGCGGAAGCGGGGTGCCCCAAGGGGAGCTGAAGGGAACCAATAGAAACTGAGCACCTTGGAACCTGTGTTGGAAGTTTTCCATCGTTCTCTTTCCCTTCTCCTGTATCTAAATATTAGCAACCGCTGTTGATTAAATGTATTAGATTTCGCCATCACTTGTGTTGCTCACATTCCTTAGCTCCTGGCTTCTCCTGACAACCCCGGTAACGTTGGCAAAGCAAACACGATCGCCCCCATCTGGAGAGATGAGGAACTGGAAGCCCCCAAAGTGACTTGCCCACGGTCACAAAACCCGCTTTGTGGTAGGGCCAATACTATTGACACTAGTTTGCAGGTCTCATTATCCGCTATCTGGCTTCTCACTAGATCGTGACACACACCCCCCACCCCCAGGGGGTTGTACATTTGGGGAAGAAACAGGTCTCACTTCCTGCCAAAGGTTTGGGACATGGATATGAGACCTTGCAGAAGCATTCAGACCATTAAAAATGATCTTAAATGACACGCGTGTAATACAACAATATTACAATATTGTAATACAACCATATACAGATACACCTTTCTCCCCCCCTCTCTCCCTACCCCTTCTCCTCCCCGCCCCCTTTTTGGTACCAAGTACTTGTGACTTATTCAACTCTGTGTTCTATAAACCATTCTTTCCCTAGGGAGACACATTGTTTATCCTCCTATTCCAGAACAATATCAAACATACTTTAACCCCGTATCGCATACTCGGAGACAGAACTCTTCACATCCGTTATCACTTTAAAGATGTTTACTAAAATAGTAGTTGATAAGAAATAGAAATATTTGGGTTTTGAAAGTAGAAATTAGCTTCAAGGTAAAAACTTCCTATTTTATAGAGACAGAACGATAGATTAATACATCGAGGATAAAAAGTTGTGCATTTTTGTTGGTTTTGATTTTGTTGTTCTCCGCCCCGCACCCCATCCCGGCAATCCATCCATTCTGCCACCTTCCCTGCACCCCGTGGCTGGAGGTCAATGCTGAGAAGCTGGACTCCCCAGGGAGACAGATGGAAGGACCGCCCTGGGGAACTCGTGTGTGCGCACTCACAAGTGGGGAGAGTTAATGTGGGCCCGGACTGACTGCAGCAGGAAGCAAACTGGGGAGAGTGCGGGGAGGGGCTGGGTGCTGCAGACACCGGCGCTCAATTGCCTTCCCGAGGAGGTGCAGGCCCGCAGAGAACCTCTATCGCGGAAACCCGCACGGACACCATCGATCCCTTCTCCACCGAGGGAACTGCTTGGATTCAACGCGGTGGCTGCGAGCTGCGAGCGCAGAGGCCCTTGAGGCTCTCACCCCTGATGTCTGCGTAGCCGAGCCGCTTTGGGCCCACGGGGCATCGGGGGAGAAAGCCTTGTTTGATGAATGAGCGTTTGGGCGACATCCGACAGTCAGCCCGCACCGGCACTGCCGGAGGAGGGGGAGGCCCGCACATGCCCGGCCATAGCTGACTCGGCAGAAGCGCGAGTTTCAGCGGCTGGCAGCTTTCTGCTCATTCTCACAACATTCTTCCAGCAGGTTCCAAGCCGCCGGTGCTCCGTAGAGGGAGACTCGTGTGACTGGGCTGGGGTTTCTCCACGCGGAAGCGGGGTGCCCCAAGGGGAGCTGAAGGGAACCAATAGAAACTGAGCACCTTGGAACCTGTGTTGGAAGTTTTCCATCGTTCTCTTTCCCTTCTCCTGTATCTAAATATTAGCAACCGCTGTTGATTAAATGTATTAGATTTCGCCATCACTTGTGTTGCTCACATTCCTTAGCTCCTGGCTTCTCCTGACAACCCCGGTAACGTTGGCAAAGCAAACACGATCGCCCCCATCTGGAGAGATGAGGAACTGGAAGCCCCCAAAGTGACTTGCCCACGGTCACAAAACCCGCTTTGTGGTAGGGCCAATACTATTGACACTAGTTTGCAGGTCTCATTATCCGCTATCTGGCTTCTCACTAGATCGTGACACACACCCCCCACCCCCAGGGGGTTGTACATTTGGGGAAGAAACAGGTCTCACTTCCTGCCAAAGGTTTGGGACATGGATATGAGACCTTGCAGAAGCATTCAGACCATTAAAAATGATCTTAAATGACACGCGTGTAATACAACAATATTACAATATTGTAATACAACCATATACAGATACACCTTTCTCCCCCCCTCTCTCCCTACCCCTTCTCCTCCCCGCCCCCTTTTTGGTACCAAGTACTTGTGACTTATTCAACTCTGTGTTCTATAAACCATTCTTTCCCTAGGGAGACACATTGTTTATCCTCCTATTCCAGAACAATATCAAACATACTTTAACCCCGTATCGCATACTCGGAGACAGAACTCTTCACATCCGTTATCACTTTAAAGATGTTTACTAAAATAGTAGTTGATAAGAAATAGAAATATTTGGGTTTTGAAAGTAGAAATTAGCTTCAAGGTAAAAACTTCCTATTTTATAGAGACAGAACGATAGATTAATACATCGAGGATAAAAAGTTGTGCATTTTTGTTGGTTTTGATTTTGTTGTTCTAATTTGCCAGCAGCTCTGGTGAACATAGGTAGCAGGTAGCATGGATATTGGTGTCAGCGGAGGTCAGGGGCCTCTGGCCGGAGACAGTACTCTGCGTCCTCAGCTCCTATCTTCTTGTAGGAACAAATTCAAACGAGACAACGAACAGCAGTAAAAGCGGGAGAGAATTTATTTGCAAAAAAGAAATGCCCTCAGATATAGTTTGAGCAGGCAACTCAGCTGGTGGAAACCTAACCAAGTGCCATCTTCAGTTGCATTGGGGAAACTTATGCTCCTACTGGAGTGTCCCTAAGTAAGTCTGCCCCTCCCTTAGTTTGAAAAAAAATTTTTTTTTTGAGAAATATCAGGCTCCTTCACCCAGGTGTTATGCCACGGGTTAGACCACACCTGGCGGGCCTTGGAATTTCTCCTCACAGAGGGGCCTGGCGCCCCCATTGTCTAGTTGTGGTTTGTCACGTCTCACACGCATCCCCTCCAAGCCCAACTGCCTTACCCAGCTCATGTCTTTCTAGCTGCCTACTCTGACATTTACAGTAACATGTTTGAACTACTCGGGTCTTATTTCACGTTTCCCTTATCTTCAATTAACGTAGAAAATGGACTTTATATGGAAGAGATAGAGCAGTTCCACATTTCGATTTGAGGAGTTTCTTAGAGGTGACAACTAGGAGGAAGGCGAAGACTTTTGTCATGAAGCTGCATTTCCATAGTAAGTGTCCAAGTCTAATTCAGGAGCAAATTAAATAAAAATCGGAAGACTTTATTTTTTTTCATCTTAGTTTCAAGGAAGCTGGTAGTTTCTTAGAAAGAAAAGAATCCGATTTTTGTTGTTGCTAAGGGAAGTTGAGACACGATTTTGAGTCATAGGTCACCTACATATTTTCCTCGAACTGTTGGGTGAACCATAAATGATCAGTTCCAGGTTTTAAGGGTGAAGACTGTTTTTACTGTGGTGGCTTTTGGAAGCAACACATTTTGGGGAAGGGCGAACTCAGAAGTCTCTTTGGGATGTCATTGGAAACTGCAAATCCAAGCTTAAGTCCTTCTACGGAGTAAGGATCTTTTCAGGTCCCGGGAGAACAGAGTGAGAGTGGGCCTCATTGCATTTAGCAATAAAGGACCTATTTGGAGGAACAAATAACAGAACTGTGAATTTAGAGCCATGGTTGGACCTGGTGGTGGCTCTGAAGCCGCGAGGAATCTTGGAGCGAGGATTTTTGTTCTTTGATATATTTAAGCCCAGGGCAAGTCGTTTCAGTCAGCAGTATATCAACATTTGTGTCCTCCCTGTGGAGGCATTTGGCTCTGAGACTGTCTCTAAGTTTAGAAGCTGCAGAGGCAAGAAGATAATATCCTTTCCCTATCAGCCCCTTCTCCTTCCTGCAGACATCTGAGGGATACACAAATGAATAAATGCTAAGCCTTCCTTTTGATTTTGAAATCAATAATAAAAAAGGAAGGAGCAATTAAGAAGTAGATCAATAGCTGAACCAAAATGAGCACTTGGAATTTCCCTTTACTTTTGAAAAATGTCTTATATTAGACTGTGTTTTTTTTCTTTCCTGCTTCAGGTTTTCATTCTTTATACTGAAACAACGTAATAGTTTGAGTTCACTATTCCACAGTGATGTTGCATTGTATTTGCCCCAAATCTTCTATACTAAGGTTTCTCTTTCATCATGCCTTTTATGTTTTTAATTCAATGGTTGGCTTTACATGTGGTCAAAGGTTCCTAGGTACATACCCTCTTGCAGTGCGTACTCCTTCTCTGGGCCTGCAGAAATCTGCTTTATACCAATCCATCTTCAAGTTATCTTTCAGGGAGGCTAGAACAAGGTTTTCAGGACTCTGCAGATTTCAAGATAATTTTAGTAGTAATTATAAAAACAAAGTGTTAAACAAGACTGGAATTCATTTTTTTTTAAAAAGTGGAGGCATTCTTAAGGGAGAACTGTAAAATTTTTCAATCAAGGACTATCAAATTGAAAACTTCAGTTTGTTTTGTTTGTTTTATTTTGCTTTAAACTCGTAGACAACCCAGCCACTGTGGCTCAGTGGTTGAGTGTCGACTTGTGAACCAGGAGGACACGGTTTGATTCCGTGGTCAGGACACATGCTCGGGTTGTAGGCTCCATCCCCAGTGGGGGTCCTGCAGGAGGCAGCTGATCCATGATTCTCTCTCATCATTGATGTTTCTATCCCTCTCACCCTCTCCCTTCCTCTCTGAAATCAATAAAACTATATTAAGAAAGAACAGTCATAGTCATAGACAACAGTATGGTGATTACCAGAGGGAAAGGGGATGGGGGAGGCAAGAGAGGGTAAAGGGGAATAAATGGTGAGGATGGAAGGAGACTTGACTTGGGGTGGTCAACACACAATACAATATGCAGATGATGTATTATAGAATTGTACACCTGAAATTGATATAATTTTATTAACTAATGCCAACCCAATAACTTCAATTAAAAAACATTTAGAATACATTTGGTTGCATGTTGTG